AAGTAAAAGAGAAAAAATAAACAATTGTATTTTACTACAAACTATTTGTAAAAATTGCATCTAATCTGAATTTTTAAATGAATTCTTTACAATTAATAAAAAAATTGGCATTAGTAATAGTAGATCAGGCGAATTGCTTGTAAATCACCTCATTTTCCTTATAAAATTTAACTGGTATGGAGACATAAGTTTTAGCAAAAAGATCTTTTATTGAAATATTTTCGAGTTATATATTATGCCGTTGTATTAATTGCATGCCTCTAAAAGTCTCTATATATATAATGATATATTTCCTATCACTGGATCTTGGAAGCAAATTATAAATTCGAACAGTATTTGATACAAAAGCTTTTTCTTTAGTGTTTCATTTAATTTAATTGAACCTTTAAATTTTTCAAACATCTTATCTTTCTAATATTTATAATACTAGCATGCGTAAGTTAGAATTTAAAGCAGTATTAGGGTTATTTCATCGAATTTTTAAGTAAATATAGACAAATAAAATAAAGATTGCGGTAAGGTCATTTGTTATTTTATAAGTATTTAATATTTTCTGTAAAATATAAAACACTTTACATTTTTATTGTTTTTTTTTGTATCTGGTAAAAATTATAAGTGCGTCTGCGTATATAAATCGAACTAAAGACTATTCCCAGATGATGGTTTCATACTTTGTGACGTTATAGTCGCTAAAACGCTGACTTTAAAAAATAGAATTTTTAAAAGTTTATATTTCTTAAACTATTGAAGCTATCAATTTCAACTGATGGTGGAATTGAAGACTGGAAAGTATTTTTTAGTATGAGCTACATATATTCCTAGCGAACCGTATGAAATTTTATTGATTTCCATCTTATGTCACACTTATACACATATTTAATTTAAGTTTAATTTGACTTAAATTTTTGGTCTTTTTCTAAAAAGAATCAAAAATAGTAAAGTTTTTTTTAATAAAAAACCAAAGAAACTGCTAAAATAAGATAAAAACCAGTCCTTTTCAGGACTTCAAATTTCTGCAGATAAAACAACACTATAAAAATTCAAACAATTTTTAAGTATTCATTTACACGACATAAAAATAAAATTAAAATTTTTCTATAGTAAAGTTCTATATAAAAGTTATTTTTGGGTAACATAAGCATTTTGTTTACACAAACAATAAGAGATAGGTGGATAGAATCAGGTTGAAGTTAAAAATCAAAAGGAAATAATTGAATAAGTTTAATTAATAAAAGAGAAATAATATGAAAATAAGAACATTTTAAAAAAGGAGCTGTTATTTCAGAAATTAAACATTAATTTTTTCAAATAAAAATTTTTCATGCCCGGAATCGTACAAATTGGTATTATTTCAACCTGATTGCTATATCTGTTACGAGTCCAAGTAAACATAATTTAAGTTTAAAGTTTAAATTTTGTGTAAAAAATTAACGTCAATTCGGCAAAAATATTAAACCAAAAATAAGGGAATAAATTAATAACAAATTATTTTTATGACATATTAGTTGTAGATTACTAATTAAAAAATTTGACAATTTCAACAACGCTTTTGTCATGTTTTCAATATTTTGGCATTGTATGCAATTCCAAACGCGACACTGTTTTCGCCGCACTATTAAAAGTTTAAAGCTCTAATAATGTGTAAGGGAACTTGTTAAAAGTATGATTCACTATAACGATTTTAAAATATTAACGATTATTAAAAACTACAAAAGAAAGCCACTTGCAAACTACTAAAAAGAAAAATAAAAAAATGAGGTTCATTAATTAACTTAGAATCATCATAATTTACAAAAGTTTTACAAATTGAAATGCAAAATTACCCTTGAAAGTAAATATTCTCTTTTTTCTTTTAATTTCAGAAACATGTATAAAATGTTTTAATCGTACATTTGTGACATTTTTTACAGACAATTTTTATGTCTAATTGTTATATTATAGACTCATAAATATTAGCACTTAAAACGATGGTTTGCTTTACTTCAACTGCATTAAGCTTAAGAAAAAACAAACAAAAATACAATTTTTTCTAGATTGGAACGTGCACCTGCATAAATAAGTTTTAAAAATGATGAAATGTTGCATAGTATTGAAAAACTATCAATTTACTGCTCTTATAAATTGTCATAAATTACATAGTTTCAAAAATAATAAATTGATGACAGTTTTTAGACAGTGATTTCTCTTTTTTAGGACTTTTTTTTGGCAAAATATGGTTGTATGCAAAATATTTCGAAAACTTCAAATATAGTTAACCTTAAAATTAGTACTAGCAGCGTACAAGGGTAATATAATTGCAAAGGGTCTTCGGAACTTTGAAGTTTTTAATATTTATGGAAAACTTTTCAAGAAATTATTTGTGGTAAATGAAGCAATCAGCTACAACTAAATTGCAATGAAACCATAATTGCTGTAAAATAAAATTGTTTAATATTTTTAAGCAGGCATTTTATTTTCTAAAAATTCATTCAAGTTCTCAACAACTTCTTAATTCGTACAAGAGCATTATGAAATTATTATTTTAGTTTTAATTGATAATTACAATTGAGTTTCACTGTTTCTACTGCAATTTGCGCTCATTATGCAAGAACAATATATCTTTATGACCATTTGAAATAGTTTTTCATCTTAAAAAAAAAGCTTAGAGAAGATTTTATAAAAGCATCAGAAATGGATTTTTAAACTTCAATCTTCATTTTAATTTAAATGGGTTTGTGCTAGTTAGAGCAAATTATTTAGTGTAATTTTATTTAGTCATACTTTTTAAAAATGAAAAATTCCTACTTTATTTTATTTGCTTTTTATATAGTTCTTACAAAATTTACTGCAAAAGCCGCTCCAATTTTTGATTTTTTGGTAAGTTATCAATATTGCATATTATTTGAATGAATTGTACGCGATAATAATAAAAAAAATTCTATTTTTTGTTACTTACATTTGAATAAAAATTTCACAATTTAAAAAATTATTAAATGTAATTGTAATAGATAAAAATGCAGTTGAAATTACAAAAAATGCTCTTTAATTTGTTTTGTTGCAAGCTTTTGTGTAATGATTCGCAAAGCGCTGTTGAAATCGTTCATATATGTTACTATTTTATTGTGTATAAATGTTCCACTCTTTTCGAATATTTAATTACTTAATTTAGATACATTCAACGTTATTATATAGTTATTATGTAAATTTTTTAAAAATTATTAAAAAATTTTCACCAAACCGACACCATTATTAAAATAAAATTATTGAATTACCATTATAGAGTTGGAATATTTGAATGTCCAATGTATATATTTGCTCTTTCTGAACATGTGGTCAAAAGATATATTTGGCTCATAGTAAAAATGCAGCTATGGTATCTGATTTCCTCGAAAAATTGATGATTTGTTTGTTTAAGTTTGTCAGAGTAAAGTTTAAGTTTCGAATTTCGAGAAATAAACAGACAGATAAAAATTTTTTTAAAAACAGTTTGTTTAAGTTTGTCTTATATAAAGAAGTACAATTTCGTTAAAAATTCAATCAGATTTGGGTTAATCATAATTATACTTGCCTTATTGCATGTAATGCGGTCGGAAAAATGTAACTCTTTACTTATACCACAATCTACATTATTTCGTTAAAATTATTTAATTATTTTTTTTTATATTAAGGATTATTGGTTCTCAGACTATAGTGAAGAAACATCAGATGAGAAACCAGTTGGTAATATAGAAAAATTGTTGTTTTACATTTCTAAACTAAATTTAATTTTTTTCATCAATATATGAATTTTAGTTATTTGTAAGCCTCCATCATGTTCAATTGTTATTAATGTTTATAATAACAATTCAACCCAGCATCCAACACAGTTTAATCCTTCAGGAGCTCAATATCCAGTTATTTTACATACTGTTCCCTATTATCAAATACAAACATCAACAGTTTCATCAAATTTACCTAATCCAAAAAGAGATAATCTTTCAGCTATAGTAACTACATCCAAACCAATTTCTCAAACTCCATCTCCGATTACTCAACAAATAACAACAACTAAGACATCAGCTCCAACAACTTTATCATCACAAGGAAATAAAGAGACAACTAAAATACCGACTACTACAGTAGCAAGTGTAACTGCAAAACCATGAAAAACGATATTAAAATAATTTCTTTAAAATTTATAAATGTTTTTAGAAGCATTTTTAGTAACAACCTACATTTGTATATTTTTATAAGCATATAGAGTTTTGTTTTCTTGAATTTAAGTTCAGTATAAATTTGCTAGTTGTATATTCAAATAGTATTGTATGCACTAAAAAGTTATCATATACACAATATGCTAGGAGAAAAATGTAAAATAAACGAGAAAGAAATTTTTAAATTGATGAAAACTGAAGCAAACTTTCAATAGCCTTAAAAAATTTCAAATTTAATATAATTAGAGTTGAATTTTAATTTACCTATAAACTTCTTTAGTTTAAGTTTTTTATAACACTAATTCAAAATTGGTTCATGTTATTAATATATAATATAATCTTAATCTATTTAGAATCTCAATTAAACAATCTAGATACAAACAGATTTGAAATTAAAGTTGAAAGAAAAGTTTATCAGTTTTGGTTTATTGTAATTTTCAAACAGCCAGTATTTGTTTTGATTAATTGTTAATTCTTCTTTGAAATAGTATTTTAAATTAAATTAAGTAATTAAAATTTTAATTTTTCAACTTTTCTTTTGTCTTTTTCTGTACTTATATATGAAAATAGATTTTTAATAATAATGAAGCTTTCTTATTATATAAAGGTAACAAAACCAGTGTTACATTGAAATTTACATAATTCTGTTACATGCAAAAGTATTTAGAACAATTTCCAAAATGTTGGTTAATGTAGCTTGAAAAGTAATTAATTTCAACACAATAATTATTAAATAGATATTTGACCGATAATAAATCTATATAACCATTTCATTTGGCATACAAATCTTAATTTTGGTATTAAATATATTGTTAAATTCTAACTTACTGCTTTCAATGTCGCCTCTTAACAAATAAGAAGTATATTATTTACCTACATTAAGGTTTGTTGTGTTCTTTATTCTTCAAAAGTGAGACTGCTTATTGGAACAAAATATTGTTCAAAGGCATTAAAAATAATATGAGATTTATGGAAAAACTTTATTAACGCATAAAAAATTTAAATTTCATATTTGAATCGTGAGTGTTTTTTTATTATTGTAATTATGTAGTTAATTTCACATAATGTGTAGCTCATAAAATAAAGGAAAAACGACGACGCTTTATTTAATTTTTGTTAAAAGAAAAATAAATTATTAATTAAGCTAACATTACATTAGCTTTTAAGAGTGTAAAATGAAACGGTAGTTAGAATTTATTAACAGTGATAGGAAAAAAATTCCATACTTTCATTACTGTCAAAGTCATATAATTTCAAACCGAAAACAAATTACAGTTTCGTTTGCAAATCAGTAAATTTTTTATGAAGATTCTGCAACAACCAAAACGCAATTTCAATGTAAATAGGACGGTTATGATTGTCGTTGGCATTTTGGCAGAAAGCTTAAAAAGTTGGTTATCTATTTTAAGGAAATTTCGAAAAGCTATAATTTTACATGACCCTGAAAAAATCTTTTGGTTGCAAAAAAAAAAGAAAAATTTACTACAAAGTTCGTTGCATACTTTTCGCATAGCTTATTGTATCAGATTTTCAGTCAATTTAATTTTCATAAAAGTACCGTTATATCTTACACAACCAAAGTTTTTAACAATTTTTTTGACAATGTCAGAACAAAAAATTTCCTTCTAGCGGCTCTAGTTTCTAAACCGGTTCTGAGGCAGGCACTGTGGAACATTTTTTTTTTTCTTACACATGAAGATCTATACGGTGGTATAACGAGACTACAAGGACAAACACTTACAATATTTTAATTGAAAAACGAAGTACTATAAAAATGACATTAGAGATTTCTTGAAAAGGTGGGAAAAATCGATATTTGTTAATGCTTTATTTGAAATAGATTAACAAATCTTCAATTGACAAAATCCGTTATAAAGAGAGAAAATTATTGTCTAAATTTATGTTAAGCTGTAGATTCTTTTTTTTTTGTCATCTAAACACGATTAAAACGGATTATACATACATACTTATTAGTGACTATTTCATTACACGTTTATCATTGTTTAGCAAATTCCTTTAATACTTTTTATTTGATTTTCCAAATCAAAATCTTTCTGACTTCGAATTTAATAAATTCCCCACAGCTTCTTCGCTCTTGCTTATTAAATTTTTGTAAAATTTACATCATCGTTTTTCTTTTAAAGGATCGATCGTGGTTTCCTCTACATTTTTCTCTGCTTCTGATAAATGTGATAATGATAATAAATTTTTGGTTGTTGGAGCAGTAGAAACTTTGTAAAAAGTATCAAAATATTCCAAAATAATCCTATTGCTACCAGACTTCTATTATATGCGTTGACTCTTTTATAAGAGGTTAACAAAAATTTAGTGAATTTCTTCATTCATACTTGAAAAAGTAAATATTACAAATTTGAATCACAATTTTTTATTTTCTGCAAAGAAGTCATCTTTTTCTCCCTTACTGGTATTCATGAACGAACTGGTATTCATGACACTAGCGTCAAACCTTACAATCAAAATTGCTGAAAATTTAGCACCTACTAAGTTAAGTTACTTGAATCATCACAAATACTCAACCTATAATTAAGCTACCCTGATGTTTGTTTTACTTTACCCTAATTGCGATTTCTCAGAAATTTTTAAAAATGCACATACTCTGGTAATTTAACAAATATAAAGAAAATTAAGGTGAATATTTGTATTCAGAGATGAGCGAACATTGGCTTAAGATAGTTTGTTAGCTATTTTCCTAATTAAATAAAATGTAATTTATTTCATACTATACTTATTTCAGGTCTAACAAATTAATTCAAATTGGGCCCCACTAATAATAATGTTTTAATTTTCAAATTTTAATTGGAATATTAAAATTAATGCACAAGAAATGTCGAGGGATAGTGGTGGGCCAAAAATTTTGCAATATCTTATTTATGAAAGCTTGCCAAAAACTTTAAGACCTTGTGATGAACAAAAATTTGAATTATATCGTATGTGAAATAGATGTGAAATAGGCTTAAATTAATTACGAAAACTACTTACTAAAATGGGGGCTGTTTATCTACAACCGTATTTATCGTATAAGTGAATTAAATTGAACAGCTATATTTACAGGAAGTAAAATTATAGAATGCATTAACTTTTATATTTTAGAATATATCTTTTATCAATAAGGCTTGAAAACATCATAAAAATTTTATTACGATACTAATTGCATTAATCTAAAATTTTAAACAACATTTTCCGGCTTTTTATCATATATAAGGAATATGCAATGACACCAAACACTAAAACACAATTTCGTTAAGTTAGCACAGAGCTGATGAAAATATCCAAATTTTATATTTTCAATTTTTTTGTCGAAACAAAAGAGCATCTTGCAAAATAATGAAAATGAAATTAAATTACATACTAATTGTTCTTTTAATTATTAAATTTAACAAAGTTTTAACTGGTTCTGTGAACGCTTTAATTGTAACAGAAGAACGCAAAAATGAAATAACTATTGAACCTAAATTTGGTTTTTTGGTAAAATATTGTTTTTAAAATGTGTTTCAAGTTAAATAAAATAAATTTTATAATTACAAACAAAAAAAATCTAGGGGTCCTTTTTTGATTACATTTTTGGTGATGATGACGATGACGATGAAGATGATAATGATGAGAGCTACAAACCAATAGGTAAGTTTATTAGGAATTATTCTTATTGATTAGCTTTTCGTGTAATTTTTTTTAATTTTTATACAGAAATAAATTGCCATCCTCCATATTGTCATTTCATTCCACCATCAAAGCCAAGTACAAAGGATGCAGACTCACCAACTTCAGAAAAACCGATGCAAACTTCAGAATCAGCAACATCAGAAACTCCAGCGGGTAACGGAGAAGGAGGAGAGGCTGCTGAAATGTGATGAATCACAGTAGATACAGCAAATGAACTTGGGCAAATAATTGAATAATATGAATAAATTGATATTAAATTTTTACAAAATATGGAGGAATGTCAAATATTGTAATACCAAATAAATTTATTATTATTACACTTTAAATATGCTACGTATAATTTAAGAAAAGGTTTTAAAGGTCAAATTTTACTTCACAAGCTTTCTCCTTATCCTAACACTTTAAAAGTCATTTAAAATTTTTACAAAAATTCATAAATTACAATTTTATCAAATTTTATTCGATGTTGTAAATGAAATATTCTATTTATCTATGTGTGCTCTCCAATTATTCTATTTTATAGCTATTTAAAATGCATTTTTTTTTTAGAAGAGCGTAAAAAATTTTAATTAAAACTTGAAGGTAAAATAATAATTGTAAAATAAAACTTCCGCGCATTAGTTTTCCTTACAGTGAAAAATGTTATTATATATATAAAAGGAAATTATGCTAATGGCGTAGTCTCAGTAAGACACAACATATTTTAAATTATTTCTGTTATAGTTGAAAAGTTTTCGAAATGAGATTTTCGATAGTCGTTATAACAGTTTTAATCTGTTTTAATAATTTGGCTATAAATTGTTTTCATTTAAATTTATTAAATGTTGCCGAAGTTCGAGATAATAATTTTTACAATACTGCAAGGCAATTTGTAAGTTTATGTATTATTTTTCAAATACATTTATATTCCATTTTTAGAATAAAACACCAACATGAAATATTTAAAGAATGATAAAATGTAATGCGTGCTTTCATCTACTCCAGTGTAAGCTGGTCAGAAAGATTTCAATACATGGATTGTATAAAGCTATTCGTTAACTAATTTTCATATTAAATTCATTATTTTTAAATGAATCCTAACATTTTCCTAAAAATGTTGCCTCTTTTTGAATTATTGCCGTTTCCAGTCATGACTTTAGCTCATTTTATTAAGAATAAAAATTAGGAATAATCTCAAAATAAGGCAATTTTCTCTTATCAGAAAATTGTTAGTAAACTTCAAAATTAAAAGTCTAGAATTCTAAATTGTTGATATTTAGTAGGTGTCATACACTTTTAAATTCGATTTATTTTAAATGGAGATGGTACCCACATACAAAGCTTACTTAATGGGTAAGTCAAATGGCTATCCTTTGAATAATGAGTTTAAAAAATTAACACTTTTAATATTTGGTTGTGTAAAGTGCAGTGGTGGAAAAGCGTTTAGTAGCACAATCGTATTAATATTTAATTCAATATTTAAAAAAAAATATTTTTTAAAATTTAGAAGAAAAATTCGTATTTTACATTGCTTTAGGAGTTAAATTCTTTTTTAAATAATTAATCTTGTAGGGATTTTTAAATTCTTTGGCTGATTTTGTGCTAGACCTTTTTGGTTATGATGAAACATCCAGCGAAGAAGATTTGGGAATTGGTTAGTTGCTACATTTTTTTAATATTACATATATTACTTAAGAAACTGAAAAATAATTTTTAATAGAGCTTAATTGCGTTCCTCCATATTGTTTGCTAACTTACATCTCTTCAACTAATTCGACGACAAATAGACCAACAACAAAATCTAATTCAAGTAGCAGAGAACGAAACACTGTTGCCACAGAGATAGTTTCAAGTGCGACTCCAATAAGCACAAGTACAGCAATTTCAACTAGCAGTTCAAGATCTACTACAAAAAAAATTATGACTAGTGCAATAGTTCAAGTAACAACTCCTAAAAAAATACCATCTTTAAATACCAGACACACAAGTTCAACATCAACTTCAAGCACTACTAAAAGTATTCTGACTACTTTATTTACACACTCTCCAGTAAATGAAAAGTCGAAAAATTCAACAGATGCCACTGTAATAAATAAAGAAAATTCAATGGCATCTACTCCGGCCACAAGAGTTAATGCAAAGAGCTCAGAAGGGGAAACGAAATCACCAATGGATAATAGTTCGCCAGTAACTACAAGTAGTACTACTGAAACTACTGAAACAATAGTAAAAAGAACTGCTAATTCAAATAAATCAACAGTGGAAACGACAACAGTATTAAATTCTAGTGAAAACTCCACTACAACCGCAGAAGAGACAACTAGTGCTAATTCAACTACTGTTAAATCTTGAACCTCCATTATATTATTAGCAGTTACCTATTGAAATTTTTAACAATTATGAATTTTCAATTAAGAATTTAAAGTAAATGGTTAGTAAACCAATAAAATAAATAATAATTATATAACAGAGTAAATTTCATACATATATAAAATTATATAAAAAGTTAAATTAAATTTGCTTTGTATAAGAGCAAAATGTAAAATTTGTGTTGATCGCTATACTTACGTACTTTTAAGCTCCTAAAACCTTCAAAATCTAAAAATGAGAATTGTGTCAATTTTTTATTAATTTTATTATTTATAAGCATTTAGTATTAATATATTTATAAGTTTTATACTATTTAACAATTAAAGTACAAATAATGCTGACTTGGCAAGTTTAAATTCATTACATAATTTAACCAATATTATTTTGACGAAATAATTATGACTAATAATAATATTAAAAGGTTTTACTTAAAAAAACAACAAATAGGAAAAAGAGGTACCTAATAAAGATAATCTTGTAAACTGCTTAAATTTATGTTATCATTAAATAAAAATTAAATTAAAGTGTAAAGTTATGATAAAATTACAAAAAAAAATCATTTATATTCATAAACCAGTCGCACTAGCTAAACTTCCATGATGATGCATTGCACCGGCATTTTGAAAATACATGTAGTAATTATACGGCTGTTGAGCAACAGCAGCAGCATTTGATGTATCTTCCATAATTTGTTGTGGTGTTATTGGTGATGATGGTATTGACATACTCATACCACTAGTTGGCGAACCACCACATGGACCAGTGCCATTTCTTAACGCAGCCACCGCTGCTGCTTGATGATGAACATTTGCTAATATATCAGTTACAGAATGAGAAGATGGCCAACACGGATGGGTATGCGGATGTGCGTGTGGATGCGTATGTGGATGAGTGTGAGAATGAGTTGCATGTGAATGTGACATAGACGGCCCTCTCAATGGTGTTTGGGGCGGTGATGGACTATTACATTGTTCCGTTTTCATGCTATACGTATATGGAGGATAAATTGAATTATATATTGGATGATGCGATGTCGTATTTGTATTTGTATGATGTGTTGCATGAGATAGATTTCCCAATTTATTACGTAATATTCTAGATATTGAACTGACACTTGGCACATTACTTTTATCGCAAATACCTTCAGCTAATAATCGATCACGTATTTCCCATGCAAATATTCCCGGATCTTTTTGTTTTAGATTTCTTATATAATTAACAACTTTTGGTGTCGTTACACGTGGTTTTGAACCACCTATTGCACCTGGTAATATTGATCCAGTCTCATGATACCTAGCTAATATTTTGGATACACAACCATGTGAAACGCGTAATTGACGTGATATATCACATGGTCGAATTCCGAGACGTGCTAATTCTACTATACGTAAACGTGTTGCATTTGGTAAAGGCCGACCGTTTACAAAAACTCCTCCTAACTGATTCACCTCACCGTATTGTTGTTGATTATCTGTAAAATGAAATAAAAAAATGACACGTTAAAACACTCGGCTCATTATTAATTTGCATAATGTATATGTATATATTATAAGATTTTGAATAAGAAATAAATTTGCTCTTATGATTAAAAATATATTAAAAAACGAATTATTTTATGTTTGCTCCTCTAAAATTCCCACATCTACATACACATATAATACATGTTTGCAATTTTATTTAAAAACTTAATTTTATATCATACATCATTCTTTTTGTATTACAGATTTTGTTTTTAATTAATATTAGCAATAATGTAAAACAACTTGTAAAACTGTGAAATATATACTTCATTTTCTTATTTGATTTCTTTTTTATTTTTGAAACGATTTCCCAAAAAAAAATGCATAACACATTGCATTCAACTTATTAATTTGCTAATGAACACACAATCCAACTGTAGTGTTGAAGCGCAACAAAAACTAACACAACAAAACAAAACAAAAATGTCATATCTTATTTCGAATCCTTAAGTGACTGATTAGGCGAAACTTGTTACATAAATAGGGCCGCCGTTTGTTCAAGAAATCAAAAATTTCAATTTAAAAAATATCATTTTTAGACGAAACAATTTTTCATGTTTTGAATTTTTATTTTATTTTTAAGTGAACATTTTAAATTTTTATAGAAATTCCAAAAGCAAACCATATTGAAATGTATCTCTATACAATAGAATTCTATCTTTTAATTTTTAAGCATGTTATAACTATAAATTTTTTAGTTTCCTAGAACGTAATAAAAATAAGAAAATTTGGAGATTAATATTAATTGAAGAGATAAGTGGACAAATTGGGTTAACTAATGGAAAAATGTGTAAAAATGCAAATGTAAGTTAACCCTCTTGTCCACTTACCTCTTCAATTGTTATACTGAAATGAAGGAGAATTACTTGTAACATCTATAGAAACTATAGAAGTCGCAATATCAAATAATCCTCATTTTGGAATAATTAACATAGAAAAAAAAGATAATATTATAAAATCGGTGACAATTTAACATAAGCCACTTTAACATATAATTGTCCTCAAAAGTATAACGTATTATATTTTTAGTTAGTTATAAATTATGTAAGCAGTAGCTTCATAAGCGATGTGAGACGAACCTATGATGTATGGTTGCTGTAGTTTTCTGTATATACTATTCTTAAACATGTTTAACGATTAACGATATAAGTTTAACGATTTGCATTAAAAGGTATAAAATATTGTTTGCGCCTAAATTTAGGCAATTATTTTAAATGTCATTGATTTAAGTATGATATTTTAAAAACGTTTCTCCTAAGGTAGAAATTATATAAGAAAATATATTAAATTTATCTTGTGAATGAAAAATTATTTGACAAGTTTAAGAAAATATCGAAGAAGAAAAGCAAATAAAAATTTTAGAGCTTAAAAAATTTAATCATCTTTTTAAATCTAATTTCAATAATTTATTGATTTCAAAATAAGTCTAATTCTTCTTGAAATTTGGGAAGAATTTTGTATGAAATGTCTTGTGTTCATTCAAATAAAAATTTTGAGAAGAAATCCTTCCATTTTAATTTATGATTTACATTAAAAGACCACCCAAAAATTTATCTAATAATCTTGAATTGATATTCATATTTCTTATTAGTTTCCTTAGTACACGATATACCTAATTACACAATGTTATATGTATATATGTATGTAATTGAAAAATTTATATTTTTTTTATAATTATGTATTAACATATTTCGAATTTAATATCTACAAAGAATTCACAAAATAAATACTGTAATAAATACCTTTAAAATGCGAAAATTGCACGTTTTTACATTATTCATTCAAGTTTTCAAAGTAAAATTGAAATATTTTGAAAATCGTATTTTCCACGGATATTTAAAAATACTTTTCGAATTTCTTTTTAAAATTTTTTCTATCGTATGCACCAGTATATTTGAGTATATATAAATATACAATTAAAAATGTTCAGAAAATTAAAAAAAGAAAAATTTTAAAAAAATTTTTCTGTATTTTTTACATTTTATAAGGAGCCGGGATATAATAAGAAAAATTAAAGTTAAATATTCGCCCTCAAAAGTAATCTATTAAGTTAAGGGTAAAGTGTACAAATGTGCAAAATTCATGAAATATTCTTTCTGTTTATTTTTTGTACCGACCGTATTACGGACAATAAAAAAGGTATTGTGTTCAAATTACAATCAAATATTTATGTATTTTCCAAAGCAATTTAATGATAAAATCAGGCAAGGGAATTTAAAGAAAAAAAAAACAAAATTTCATAAAAATTGATGTCTGAGTCAACTTTTGGAATACAAATATATTCGGCTGTATTTCTAAAATAATAAATTTTTCTTGATATTTTGTATTTCAGGTATCTTTATCGTTCAAATGAACTACAAGGCTTTTTTTGAATAAATTGATCCGGAAAGTGAAGTTTTGACTGGAAAGCAATTGAATGGAAAGTGAACCAGATAAATTTACTTTCAGATATATTGTAAATGAATCATGACATTATACGTTTAAAAAGTGTGAATGGTATGTACTTGTTCGTACTTAATATTATTATTAAAATATGAAATTAATCGCTCATGTGCTGTTCACATCAGCATAATTTTCTTTTGCATGAAAAATGTTTGTGTTTTTTTTAAGTTTTGCTTTTTGATTTAATGCTTTTAAGATTAAATAAATCACATGTATTCAAACATAAATACATACATAAATTTGGAAAATATTTTCACATATAATGTAGGTATGTTTATGTACATAAATGCAAGAACCACTGCGCTACTGTCTGTGATTTAAAATTTTAATTTATAAATGACAAAATAAAAAAAGGAAAAAATTACACCGTAATATGAATAGACTACAATTGAGCATTATTTGAGGCTAAAAATTTATTAAAAAGTTTTTTTTTTTGGCAAGTAATATAAATTCAAGCTGATTATGTTATACTAAAATCATGATGACCATTTAAAATTGCGAGGAATTCATAAAATTATAGCAAAAATTTAGTATAGATTCTATAATAAATCTAAAAAAATTTAATAGAAAAAAAAATGCGAACAGGACAATTACGATTCAAAAAAATATTTGACAATTGTAATTTAAATAGCATGAAAACTTATTTTTAGTCAAATGAATGTTTATGCACCATAAAAAATTGAATATATGAGATATATTAAGTCATTTTACAAGACATGTCTATTGTGTAAGTTTGTAACAATTTGTTGAGACGATTAATTATTTGTCTTATTCTCCTATTTGTATAGTATGAATGCTAAACTAAATGAACGTATGATTGTAGTAATTTAAAGATATAATCTGCGTGTATCAGTAAATGAAACAATTTTCGAAATTAAGTAATATTCAAAATTTTCGATTTAAGTAACTATGCAAAAATAATTATTTTTTATACCAAAATTTTGCTTTAATTTATGGAATTGTTGATGAAAACAACTTGCGATATACTTAACAACGCTAAAATTTTGAGTTCACATATCGATGGAATTCGAACACAAATATGAGAAACTTCTTGATTAATTAATGATGAAATTCCTTGAACTGATTTTCTGTTTGAAAATATTTACTTTCGATTTAAATATGGAACGTACTTTTTCTCAAGAGTTTTAGCATTATACTTTATTACAATTTTTTTAAAAGTTAGAAAGTGAAGTTTTCGATTTATGTATGTATGTATGTATAAATGTACATACATAAATTTTGTGAACTAATAACATTTTTCCTATTAATATTTGAAAATCATCCTTATCCGCAAATTTATCCTCGTTATATTACTTATTTTTGTCTGTTATAATAAAATATTTTATAAGTATACATACATATCTATAAATATATGCATATCTATACACATGCACCTATAATTAAGAATGGATACAACATACATAACGTCATATCCTTTTCCTTTCAACTAAAATTCGTGAAAAAATAAAAAAAAATTGAAGTTTTTAAAAAGCTTATTTTATTTATTAAAAAATAAAAATTGCTAACGTTTACGTAAAAACATTAATGCTGATCATACAAAGCTTTTGAAAGCTCTCTCTCAGAAAGGCATTTTGCAAAGCTAATTTTAATGACGAGGTGGCCGAGTGGTTAAGGCGTTGGACTGCTAATCCAATGTGCTCTGCACGCGTGGGTTCGAATCCCATCCTCGTCGAATTTTTTTTTCTTGTTTTTTTTTTTTTGTATAAAAGAAAGTTTTTTTCTAAATTATCACGAAATTTTAACGTACAATAAATTTTATTTGAGAATTGTTCATATTATGAATATTTCTTTATTTTACCAATATATGAACGACTTCATAGTAAATACATGCATGCATACATACATAGTATGTGTGTATATTAAAAAAGATTTCATATTATTTACTACAGTTTACTATACCATTGAAAGGAAATTAGAGGAAAAGGGAGTTTTAATAAAAGCACTCGTGTGTAGTATAATTGTAAAACAAGCAATTTAAAACCAACGGAACAAAAAATAACGATGATTAAAAATAATTCTGGGAAATTGTTGAATACAATACAGAGACTTGTACTACAAAATCATGATAAGTTTCAAAAGAAAAAAAATAAATATTTTTAAATTTCTTGAATGTATGTACATTATGTACATTATGTAGTAAAGTTAGTATATAAAATTATAAATGTGTAATTTATATTATGTGAGTTTTATTTTCCTAAGAACAAAATCTTTCGAAAATCAAATCGAAAAGTGTTATACACATTTTAAATGCTACTGTTACTTACAATGTTTTAAATACCCAATGCCATAATTAAAAAGAAAGAAAAATATTTTTGTAATTCGGAAAATTTTATAAACTCATAATTCTTTTAAGCAGCTTCCAATAAAATTGGAAAAAATGCTAATTAGTTTCATTCTGTGCGTCTGCTTATTCGTTTGTCTATAAGTCTATTTACAAAAATTTTACACACAGGAAGCTGAAATGTTTGTATACAGATGGATTTTTCAA